GGGTCGGATTTGAAAAAATCGGATTTGTCTCATTCAGACTGTCATAAAAAAATCGGATATGAGTCGGATTTGCCTGCAGTGTGAACGTAACCCAAGATTAACCTTCAGGGTGGATATAGCTCGCTCACACCGATGACCAATCCACATCATCATTTACCCAGAATATTTTTAAAAATTTACAAAACTAAAACAGCCTACAGTATTTTTACAGTCTTTATTTTACAGTTAAAATAAATGTTTATCAAATAAAGTCTAATGTTACAACTAATCATGGATCCCTTTAAAAGCACTGGAAGCAGGTAATATCCACCCAGCTCACCTGTGTGGCATTRCGCTGCGCCGTAGCCAGGACATGTATGACAGGTTTGGGATGGTAGCGGTCGTTGTCCTGCCGTACGTTGGTGACGGTGGGGAATGCCGACGGGGGAGACGGCGTGAGAATAGGGGGGACGGGGTGAGCTTCAGGGGGCTGGAGAATCTCTTCCTTAACGTCACCTTCGATCTGGGGACTGAGCAGAGAGCAAGAGTAATTTTTGATGGTTAGAATATATGTTGTTTGATTATTTAAAAACAAATTACAGTTGTATATTCTTAGAATCAATGCAAACTACATTTGTGGAAAGCTTTTAAATGTGGTGGTTCTCTAAAAAAAGAATACCCTAAAGGAATGTATGCATGCATATTTAAAATCTAAAGCTAGTTTGATCAAACAAACATAATGTTCCTGCTAAGCTCTTTTTAACCACTAGATGGCAAACTTACTATTAAACCCAGAGTGGTTCTGAAGATACAAATTATATGTTAAATTTTCTGCTTCTGCTGTTTAACAGCTTTAACTCATATTTTGTGGATTTTAGGTTTGAACAACCTGCTGGTGTTTGTCAAAGAGTTTAAGATCTATTTAACTAAGTTTATAAAGTAATGCACATTTTGCAGAATATAGCTTATTTATTAAACCTTTATTAAACCAGGAAGTACCTTTTTCAAGGAATGCGTATATAATCTAGATGACACACCATAGAAGTTACAACTAATATCAAAATACACAGAGTCAGTCTAAAACAAGCTAAAGATTAACAGTTATACTTTTCATTTATATAAAACCTTTCAGAGTTTAAACTTCACTAAAGAGACATAGCATTAGGCTTTATTGTAGACTGAAGATAATCCCTAAACAAAAGGTGAAAAATGGGACAAAGCTGTTCTATTAAATTTAGAAAATAAATAAATAAATAAAAATCAGGGCAACTTTAAAAAAGGAGCCAACGGAGAGACAGCTTTTAAGGTGTACCTATGCTGTAGTCTTGTTCTGCTTAGAGATGAAACCAGATAATAAAATACCCCCTGATGTGCACTATGTAACAAATTTATTTTAAATTATTAAGAACAATGATTTACAGAGTCAAAACAAAGTGCAGAGGAAGCAGCACATATACAAGTACTGTCTGTATTCACGAGCATTTAAAAATGTAGCCTGAACAAGTTCTTCTCTTCATATATAGATTAAAAAAGTCATATTTCTGTATTAAAAGCCCAATCTAAGTTTTTTTTTTTTTTACTAAATGCACAATATGAATGAAAAACAAAGAATCATCCAGGAAAAAACATAAATGATACAAGCTGAGTAAACTATGGTGTCATCTGCATACAAGTGCATTTTAACTGCAGGCATAACCACCTCAAACAGTAATCCTGACCAGGTTACCTGTGATCTACCACAGCTTTTACACATCAAAGCTTGATTACTTAACAATTAAATAAGTCTACTGCATCTAAAACACACCAAGAGACCAAAGTGTTTGTGTAAATTACCCACAAGTCATACGTCGTTCCACTACCCTAAACATACATTTACATGCTCTATGTATGCAAAAAAGATGCAGAGGAACAGAGAAAGGATGTGGYGGTGTGCTAACTCAAGAGCACATGACTGAGGCAAGAGCTGCTGTCTAGATCAAAGGCAGACAGACGGAGTCAGACACAAGGAGCTCACAAGCTAAAAGCTCGGGGGGGATTTCCTTTTCTTTAGTGTTGCAGTCAAACTATAAAAGCTTTTGTCATTAAGCAGTAAGAGTGTCGTTAGGTTATTCTTCGAAAGAAGCTGTGATCTATTCCTTAAGTAGTTTGCTTTCTTATTAATATACAAAAAGAAAAATATTAAAGTCTCAGAATTCCTTGAAGGAGTGCAACCAGTATTTACTTCCTGAAGGTTTTGTTCAAATCCTTCCATTTTCTTGATATATTTTGCTAACAGACGGACATTTGGCCGCAAGGCATTGAAAACAAGTTTAGGACTTTTGTTATTAGTTCGACTGAATAGTGTCAGAAGTTTCTCTAGCCACCTCAAAAGACCTTCTGCTTCCTATAAGCCAATTAGTGGCAAKTTTAGCCTTGCAGGCTAAACATTATCCTTTTGTTTTCTATAATAAAAACAAATTACCCACAAGTAACTCTCCTTTTACATTATCTTTGCTGCCCGAAMAAACAAAAGATATATTTAACAATAACAGTGTCGACTCCCTGCTAGCGCTGATTGCTTCCACAGGGATTCCAATATTCAGAGGCGACTCAGATGTACGAGGCCCTGAGATAACTTAGGAATTATTAAAGTCTCATCTTAAGAGGGGACTGAGCAAACACTAATAAGGCACAGAAGAAAACGAGCATTATCACAATGAAAAAATAAATAAAGGAGGCTGCAGGCGAAGAACGACTGCAGCGCTAAAACAAGTTYACCGAAATGTAAATATGCATAAACATTACATCAAGTGATTAAGGAGTGCTGGTGGAAATATTTATTACACTGCCAGCTCAAAACACAATGTTTACCTCAGAAACAACTTTTAACCTGAACTAAATCCAGAAATTAGTTAAAGATTTAGAAATAATTTCAAACTACAAGTCGTATTTGCCATAAAAATTATGTTAATCTGAAACTGGCTTTTGCAAAGCTTTTATTTTGAAGGCGAGTGGATGCTTAAGACTGCAGCCTCCTCTGTGTGCTTTTCACAGGGAGTTTGTGTGAAACAGCACACATGAAAAATACAGACTGATTCAGAATGTATAGCTTTTAACATGATATGTACTTTAACGTGTTTATTTACTGAATTCAGTATTRAAGATAGATCCTTTCCCCAACACTCACCTGCAGCTGTCCTGTAAATGAATGAATGATACTTTATTGATCCCAAAGGGAAATTACAGTTAATTAAATGTACTCCAGGTAAGAAACTTGATGCCAACATGAGGAACTTTTGCCAAAACAGCAAATATTTCATTTCWTTCACTTGCAGAAAATTGCCTTTTTATGTTTGATGCTCAGATTTTAATCGTCCAGTTTTGTTGTCTACTATTTGCAGCTAAAGAAAATCACCTACAAATAAAATTAATAGTTGAAAGTTGGCAGAGTTAAGTTAAGTCCATTGGTCCGGAAAAGGAGCTGCCGACTAAACTAAAAAGATGGATTTTAATCTTAGCCTGCCAACATGCGTTCACTAGAACTTYATTTATTACATCATCCCCACAACTAACCTAAACATTATGTAAAGACAGTCAACTCCACAGTTTCATTGTTGTCCTGAGAGGTGCTGCAGTTTCACAGCAGCTCTTGCACACAGTCACTGGATGTGTGATCCCACACAAAGGAACTATAGAGRGATTCCTAAGTTTCTGAAGACTGAGAGAATAAAAAAGAAAAGGAAAGCTGCTCACTCAGCGTTTTACCAAGTGCTTTTTATCAAATATGGTTAAGACGATAGCAGCCAGTCTTTGAACTAAAGATAACATCACTTCAAAAACTCTAAAAGGACGCTACAAATTAATTTTCATCAGAACTCGAGACCTACTGAGGACTAATTGAAGGGTGTGTGTGTAACAAAGCCATGACTCAGTATTCGATCTATTTTGATTTCCTGATGTATCCCCTCCATCTTTCCTTCAACGACACACACACTCCACTGAAGTGAACCAAAGGGAGTTTGGCTAGCAGAAAGTGGCTTATCTAGATAAAAATAGCTCCCACCATCAACAGATTACTCCCAGGCTTAAACTGGGCCCTCACTTGACTTCTTTAGAGAYGGAGGGATGGCGCAAAGAACAGGACACATCCGGAGACATCGAGGGAAGAAAAATGGCATAAGAGACACCCAGATATTCCAGAGAGCCTCCTCTGTCCCACTTCCAGGAAAAGCAAGCAATCTTGGCAGCATCTCAGAGTTCAAATTTGTGTGTTTTACTAAGAACAGGAAAGAAACTATGCAGTAAACAGAACTCTCGCCGCTACGGGGCTAAAGTTAGAACCTCTGGAAAATGTTTCCCATCGAAGCAGAAGGTAAAAAAAAGAAACACTGAGGAAACCAAGAGAAGACCAAATGATTTTAGTCTGGTTAAAGACAATAAAAACTGTGGTCACTCGATGCGGTTCATTTTCACATAAAACTAAAGTCTTTCAAGGCTTAAAAGTTCACAAACGTCTTTTGTTTTTTTTTCCCAGGTACATAGTTCAATTCAATACCACAATCAAGTAACTATGTTCCCTTCAGTTGTTATAAAAATGCTGTAAATTTCAAAAACAAATTTTCTAAACCAGAGGTTCTCAAACTGAGGTCCCAGGACCCCCAGGGGACCACAAGAGGTATCTTGAGGGTCCTCAAAAAATTTCACAAAACTGTTAATTTGATTTTTATTTTTTTAAATGCATAGGGGAACAATGGACTAATAAAACAAAACGCAATAAACTAAATTTTAAAAAATGTATTCCCATTGTATTTAGGGGTTGAAATGACAGTAAATTATCTTTTAAAACAGCATGGTGTTTCTGAGGGGGTCCCTGAAATTTCTTTGCCCTTATAAGGGGTCCCCAGACYRAAAAAGCTTTGAAATTGTCCTCTGCCTCTTTAAGTACCTCCTACTGTTTCAGACACTCCCACTTCAGCACATCTTTACAACAATGTTYCAGGGGAKGGGGGCTCTGTGGGGCGGGAGCTCGGCTGCAGACTGAGCTCCAGGGAGGAGCTTCGTGTAAATAGGCGGAGCTTTGTACCAGCAGGCGTTAAAGCAGCTCCACATGGCTACAGGAGTTTGAAGGATTTCTCAAACATGCATCAATGAGTCAAAGCAGCACTCAATTTTGCTAAATTAAAAAACACTGCCTTTTTGTTTTCTTAGTATTGTTTGAATTTCAGCTTAAGATTTTTTATTTTTTGAGACAGGGGGACAAATTGTTTTCATTTCAGTAAGTAAAAAAGACATTTTTAAACAGACAAATTACATTTTGAAATGAGTTAAATTTGAATTRGAGATTCTAAAAAATGTAAAAGATGCAGTTGCATTTATTATTAATAATAATAGCGTTCACTTTCTTAATCTTCAATGGGAGAAATTTATTCCCAGCTTTTTTTCACATCACACTTGTGTGCAGAGTTAAAAGCCTTGCTTTAATTAACTACATTTTTTGCCGGTTTCTGTTTTCAAACTGCTAAACCAGCTGTTGACATCGTTRCTGTAAGATGTTTCTAACTCGTTTTAAACTCCTGTGTAAATGRCGTCTTTCCCAGATGATCAAATAGTCTGCAGCTCACACAGTAACCAGACAAATCACCGCTCAGCTAAAYATTTCTCGACAACGCTTTCAACAACGGCTTATTAAGTGAGACGGTGTCTCCTGGCAACAAGATGCCCCCTCTGACATTAAAGCCACAGAACTGAGGCAACTTTGAGGCATCCGTCAGCCTTGTTAAAAAGTGTATGTGCTGCATCTGATGACTAGACCGTAAGATGTGAAGCACAACTCCTGCTGGGTGCAAACTGAACAGCTGAARTAAAATAAATGAGGAGGGGAGGGGGGAGATGAAGCAAGTAAACAGAGAAAAAAAAACAATGAAAAAGAGAGAGCTGGACTGAATGTACACATGACTTTGTTCTCAAAGAGATGAGAACACTTCAACTAGCTTCAGTATGTAGTGTTGCACAGTGTTGCAGAGCGTTAYATAAACACAGCTCCTCCTCAGGCCGTTGTTAAAAGCTGCACAGAAGTTAACTTTACTGAGGAACGGCTGCATCTGTGGGCTGAACCGGAGCAAAGATGTAAGAAACTCTCATGAAAACAACCCCTAYTGCTTTTGTTTGGGCAGCTTTGTATGTTTTCATTGTGTGATTCAAATAAACTCGCTGAATTGAGATTTTTTCATTTTTTGGACATTGTTCCTTTAACAAAACATGACTTCTGCTATATTCAGTAGCACTTCACACCTACTCCTCGCCCCTGTATGAACCTGTTAATTCATCTTTGAGGAGGCTGAGCGTTGTTCTGTGTATTCAGGAAAATAAAACAAAAAACAAAATATAAAGCTACAGCACAAAAAGAACATCACGTACAAACCATGCAAACAAAAAGCCAAATTACCTGCGTATGCGAGGTGGTTTTGGCGGTGGCGTGTCCCATCTTTCATCATCTGATGGGTGGCTTGCTTTGTCAGGACTGCTTTCACTCTGGATAGAGACAAAAAGATCGATTACAGACGTGGATACATTTGTTGAAAACACTTTATTCCTCATGAAGAGTGATGCTTTTTTGTTTAATTTATAC